GGCTCCTTGGGCAGCCAGGCCCAACAGGAGGCTATTTCCTTCTCCAGCACCTCCTCACAGCTGCCTTGACTCGTCTCAGTCTTCTAGTTCTGTTCCCTCAGTGTCTGCCATGTACCCTTCCACGTGAAGCCTTGCAGCCAGGGTGAGAGGTGCCTCTGGAGACCACTGGGGCCATGCAGGGCAGAGGATGATGCTGCTGGCCTCCAGCAGTGCTCCTGCATGCCTGTGCCCGCATGAGGATCATCCCTGAAATGTGGGATTGATGTCTCCCAGCTCAAGGTCACAGAATTACAGAAAGGTTTGGGTTAGAAGGGACCTCAAAGATCATCCAGTTCCAGCCCCCTGCCATGGGCAGGGACACCTCCCACCACACCAGGCTGCCCAAAGCCCCATCCAGCCTGGCCTTGAGCACCTCCAGGGATGGGGCATCCACAGCTTCTCTGGTCAGCCTGTGCCAGGGCCTCACCACCCTCAGAATAAAGAATTTCTTCCAAATATCCAATCTAAATCTATTCTTTTTAAGATTTAGATTAGATATTTGCTCTGATTGTGTTGTGTGCTCTCCTTCCACCAAAGGCAAAGCTGAGCTGCCCACATCAGTCCTTCTGCAATCCAGGGTCAGAGCATGTCCCAGGTAGCTCTCAGAGGCCGTCTGCAGTGTGTTACCTGGCTACCTGTGGAGAGTGTCTTTGATTAGACTTGCATTTATTATACATAAAACTGTGCAGATTTGTCATGGTTCACATGTGAAGTGAGGAACATGTCGCCTTTGCACTGCCAGCTCTCACCTGTTCTATGTCATCTGAAATGTGTCCAAGATTCAGTGGAGCAGCCAGCAGGATCACTGTCCTTTGGTGTTCCCTGGTCAATGTGGGAACTGCTGAGAGCAAATCCTGGTTCTGTTTTGCAAGTCCCGAGCATGTCCTTGGTGCAACCAGTGCTCTCTGGGCAAGTGGTGCCCTAGGAGAACACTAAGCCTGTGGCCAAGCAGAGAGAAAATAGTGCCAGTCCTTCGGAGGCTGATGCTATGCACAGCGTAAGGAAGATCACAGTGTGTGGAAATGCACAACGCTCAAGCTGGAGTGAGAGGAGAAATTTTTCATTTTACTGAAATTGTTGCATCGAGTTACCACACCATTAAGAAAACCATGATCTTGATCAGATTAATGGGTGATTATCCCATGAAGAGCAATTTTGGTGTTATGTATGAACAGAAATGAAAACCTCTCTAGCATGGCTCATTGCAATTAAAAATAGGTGCTTCAGCTGACATTTGCTGCTCTGGGATTCAGCTGCAGCTAACAAAGTGCACAGTCTCTGCTGCAGATTGTAGGGCTCCTCGGCAGGGTATTAGGGAAGTTCTCAACACTCCTGGGCTGTGGTCAGTGCTGCACTCATTTTGTAAGCCAGGTTTTTCACTCCAGGTTAACTCTGAGCCAGTGGCAGAGCTGGGAAGAGAATCTGGGTCTGGCTGCAATGCTCTGCTGGGTGCAATGGTCCTCTGGGTGCAAATCCTGCTGGTGCCTCTGCCTTCCTTTCCAGAAGGAGACACCAGGTTTGTTGTGTGTTGAAAGGGTCGCCTGCTCGTTCCCTCTTGTTCACGTCAGTGCCTGAAGAACCCCTGGCACCAGCCTGCAACCTGCAGCTTGACCAAGGATCTCTCTGTGTATTTACGGTCATGCTTTAAGCACCCCTCAAAGTGTCTGAAAGTCACCGGGTTGATTCTTTGAAATGCTGGGCAACTTCCATACCTCGAGGTCAGGAATAAAAATCCTGCTGGTTTGTCAAGAGCAGGGGTGGGCTCAGGGCTGGCATTTCTGACAAAAAGCCTCACTTTTAACCCCAGCTCCAGAGAAATGATGGCCCAGCTCATGACCTGTCACCTTTGCTCACACCAAGCAGCACTTACTAGTTGGAGATGTGTTCAAGGAGCTATATTTAGCCAGAGCATTATGAAACAGCAGCCAGAGCGGCAGGCAGATCCCCCAGAGCTGGTGTAGGGGCTGGGAGAGCCATGGTAAACTGGTGGTGGAGGTCCAAAAGGGCAGATTAAGGCTGCTTGGTCCTCACTGCTGGGAGGTGCACGGCACTGCACTGTGCCATGCCACATCGTGGAGACCTGCCCTGGCCCAGCAGTGGTGGGATATATATATGAAAAAAGGATGTAAAAACTGGGCTGATGATGAGTTGGCTGAAAGGGACACTTTGGGACAATTTGCTCATACGGCAAATCCTCTGTCTTTTTGTTCTTCAAGAGCAAGAACTTGGTAGGGATGGGATTTTCCAGGCTGCTTTCAGCATAATGCAGCCTTTTACAGCCCTCCAAGAGATGACCTGTGCTCTACCAGAAAACAGGAGTGGATGATGTTTAGTGGGGACTGTTAGTGTTAGGTTAGAGGTTGGACTCGATGATCTTGAGGTCTCTTCCAACCTAGAAATTCTGTGATTCTGTGTGATGTAGGGGAAAAAGCATTTTTGTTCACTTCAGACCACTTTTTGAAAAAAAAATCTCTTTTTATTCTTATAAACAATCTATCTCATAAACAAAATTCTGCTTAAGTAACACTTCTCTGTTCAGTATGTTGTTTGAGCAGCAGCCTCAGACAGGTGGTGACAGGCTGCATGAGGGCTGGTAGAAAGAAAGCCCATGAGCTGTGTAAATCAGTCCTTTGGGAGCTGTGTGCTTAGCTCAGGCACTTTGCTGCAGTGCTTCAAAGTTTCTTACAGCTTTGGTAGAGTTCAGCAGTAATCAGTCACCAACAAAACATAAATCTGCAAATTAGCACAGAAACCATGGATTCCTTTCTCATCGCTGTCTGGTGGCCTTACAAAGGCCCTTTCCGAACTGGGTGGAGAAATGGTTTGTAAAGGAGGGGAAAGAACTCAGCTCTTTTCTGGCACCCCGGTGGTGAATGCAACTGAAAGGGTGACTGGTTCATTTTACCAGCCCGTGCCTTTTGTTCAGGAGCAGCTTCTGTCTCTGCTGTTCTTTCAGGAACTTGCGCTTGATGCATATGCAATTCCACCACAGAAGTAATTACACAGAGTCAGGAAGGAGTTATAATTCAATGTAGTGTTAAAACAAGAACGTACTTAGAGTTGCCTATACTCGGGAGAGGAAACAGAAAGTTCCTTCATCTGTGAAGCAGATCTGAGCAGGGACTGAAGATACCCAAGGCAGGATCTTGCTCTGGAGCTCCTGTAGGCAATAGCAACGGCAGCAAGCGTTAGCATTGGAAGTAGCCCCTGAGCTCACTCCAGGTTCATTTTGCCTTCTCTCCTGGAGCAAACCATGGGTTTGTCATTGGAGTTGGTGGCTGGCAAGAAAAGGATGGAGAAACCCTCAGAATGAGACAAGGGACTGATTTTGCATCTGCAAAATCTGAGCTCATATGTGAAAACACACCCTAATCCCTGTGTTGGCAGTGGTGTTAATTGTTATTTACTAACCATGAGCGAGGCTCTGGCAAACAGAAGATGTGGATCCAGATGGGCTGTTTCTGGGCCTGTCCTCCACCCAGAGATGTCAGCAGGGCAGGTGGCACCAGTGACCATGTCCCCAGAGGAGTGTCTTCCAGCCTGGAAGGGGCTGTTTGGAAAGCAAGGAGACAAATCTGCATTGTCTGGACCAGGAGATTTCTGTGGCCAGAAACGTAGCTGGTGGCCACCAGCAGCACCCAGTGGATCTGTGTCAGTTCGGATCAGCTGTGGGTTTGCCTGCTCAGTGTCTGGATGTGAAATGTGAACAGAGGTCTGGAGTCTTCAGGAGATGAAGGAGATGGAAATGAAAACGTCCAGGTACCACCTGGGAGCAGGGGGAGGTAGAGAGATGCTTGTGGTGGATGCTGCACTTCGAATGCTCACTGTAGAGTCAAACACTTTGCACTAATGATCGCCTGTTGCGAGCAGTGATGCAAATGTGTTCTCACCAGCAATATGAGAAAGCTGCCGTTGTCTCAGCTTCACTTGTGGTTTGACAAGCGCTTTGCAGCAGGCGATGACAGCCCCTGACACAGCCAAGGCGCTTTCGTAGCATTTTGTACCTCTGTCAGTCTAAGCGGAGCTGACTCGTGATCCATTTTTAGGTCTGATCGGAGATTTTCCTCTAGGATTTTCCCCCAGTTCACAGAAACACTTCCAAGAGATGTTTTCATGTGGTATTGACCTCTGCTTTGATCCCTGACCCTGTGTGCTGGGCAGTGGCACTCTGGGAGCTCGGTGCTGGAGCTCGTGCCACTGCCCCGGCATCACCTAGCAAAACTCAGGGTTAAGGAACAGACCCAGGTGAATCTCAAAATGAAGCATAAATGCAGCAAACCTGGCTTGCAGGTGTTTCAGACGCTGCCCAGGTGCCCGTGAAATCCATGGGGTTTGTTGGGACTTCTGAAGAAGCAAATGCTACTGGCTACTTTCTTATGAGAAACACAGCACAGTGGAAGGAATGGCAGCAAATGCAAATTGTTGTGATTTTTTATTTTTTCTGCTATCTCATGCACATTTCCTTGGCAGCAAGGTAATGCTAGGAGATAGCTCCTCAGAGAAGTAAGGAGAGCAGTGCCCTGTAATGCACAGCCTGGAGCTCAGGGCAGTGATTAGCTGTATTAGCGGTATCGCTGCTGTTATTCAAGTGCCATTCTTTGCAGTGAGAAGTTTCAGGACTAAAGAAGTTTGCAACTATTGAAAAATGCTGCTAGACTGTATGCGCTTGGTTTTGTTTGGTTTTGGGTCTTCAGGAATAACATTCATTTAATGGCCGGTCCCATTAAAATTGTGATATTGATTCATTTGCCAGGAAAATGAATGGGTGGATATCTCCTATCACACGGTTGTATTGATCTTCTAGGAGCTGATGGGATGACGGCTTTCATCATCGGACAGCACGTTAACACCTTAATTGATATATTCTGAAACCTAATTAGAGGCCAGCTGGATTCCTTGTGGGAATAATATTTATTTTTGATGTTGACAAAGTGCTCCCAAATGCAAGTCATATGGTGTGATTTAACAGTGATTAAAACTTGGCTACGAGCGCAGGCAACTTGAGGAAACTGCCAAGCAGCTGAGACTAGAAAAAAAGTGAAGCCCTAGATGTGTGTAATTACTTTGTGCTCTGCCACATACACACATCTCTGCCTGTCTCTCTGTCAGTGAAATATCAGGAGAATTGTTATAGCACTTTAATTATTCACTGTCAATCATCCCTCAACCAGCACAGACGGGTGTGTGCGTTATCTGAAAAGTGCAGTGTTATCTGAAAGCTCTTGGGGAGGTCGCTGAGGTCACACAGGTAAGTGCAGGGGGCTCAGGAGACCTCAGCACCCAGCCCGTCCTCCTCGGGGGGTGCTCCTGCGGGCCCTGCTCCCAGCCCCTCGCCCGGGCTGAGCCGCTCACCTTTTATTACTACTGAAGGCTGTGACCGTTTTTCAATTTTCTTCCATTTGTGGCAGGTACGAGTTCTGTCTGCCTGGCTGTAATTGATTCCTGTTCTCATTTCTCTCCTCCTGCCTTCAGACCAGCCCCGTGCTCTGCAGAGCTCAGTCAATGTCTGCAGCCGCCAGAGCTCTGCCGTGCTGGCAGCCCCCAGCGCAGCTGCTTCGCCCTCCGGAGCATGCAAACGGTGGGGCTGTGCTTGGGCAGCCCCAGGAACTTGCAGGTGTCTCTGGCACAGGGTGAGTTTCTCCTTTGCAACCTGCTTACCTGCAGCAGGTAGCTTCAGCCCCTCAGGGTGCCCGTCAGCTTCTTGTGCTGGCTCTGGTAAGGTTGCTCCTCTGGGTTTGGGAGCCAGGCAGGCACCAAAGCAATGCTTGGCAGCTCCTGCAAGCCCCATCACATTCCTGCTGGCTTCGTTTTGCTGTTTCTTCTGCTGTAGCCCTCTTGATTGGGTCAAACTCCAGCTGGGCATCCAGGACCTCGTGTCAGAGAGTCCGAAAGAGGAGCACAGTCCTGCAGGGACATCGCTGCCCACGGTCACTCCCCTGCTATGGCCCAGGCAGCTGCAGCATCCTCTCAGGACAGCGCTTCTTACCTCTGCTAATGCTTGGCCTTTTGTAGCTCTCATGTAATCTCATCTCCCTCGGTGCTGGGGGCAGCTGCGAGAGGAGAGAGACTCATCTCCTCAACATTTACCGAAAGGTTTTCTGCTGCTGTCCAACTGCGAAAAGTCATCAAGAAAAGATTTTGTTTCTGTTAGGTTGGGCAAGGAATTTGTTAGTTTTTATATGAAACTAATTTAGTGTTTTCTCCCTGGCAATGCTCTCTTTTGGTAAATCTTTATGAAGCTGGCATTAACCTCCCTTCCCTGGCAGCTTCCCATTTCATCCCAAGCACGGTCTTGTTGCAGGTGACCTCTGACACGGGCTGGTTCTTGTTCTGGGTGACCCACAAGCTGTCCTCCTCCTCTGCCCTGAGCTGATTGTGCTTCCCACCTCAGCATGGGAAGGATGACTTGCAGCAGCTTTATCCAAGCACTCTGAGACCCAGAGCTCCTCTTGCACCCGTGGCTCTTGAGCTGATGTTGGCTACCAGAGGCCATGAGGGGGACAGCCTGTCTGCGGGGCCACGGGTCAAATGCACACAGCTGTGAACAAGCTATGGACAAATAGCCTGAAAAAAAAAAAAAAAGAAAAAAAATCCTTCAATGATTGCAGGTTTCCTGGTGTGACTGAAAACCTGCAGAAGGTGCCAGCCCAGGAGCAGCTCCAGGCTTTCCAGGCTGGCTTCATATACCAGGTAATGAGCCTTCCTTGGGCTGAGATGGCTGTTAGAAACCTCTAAGAAGAGAAAGACTCAAATAATTCCCCTTGCAACAGGTAACATATATTATACAGTAACTACGTATAAAGCTTTAATGCACAAGCTGCTTTTCTATGCTTATCGCTGGAGGCTCAGTGTGCGGCTCCAGCACCATGGCACATGGGCTGCAGCTGGGCCATGTGGAGAGCTGAATTATTTTTTTATCCTCTGGAGTCACATGGTGAGCCAGCAGCTGTCTTCTGCTAGAATCACAGAATCACGGAGTCATTAAGGTTGGAAAAGCCCTCCAAGATCATCTGATCCAACCATCCCCCTACCACCAATGTCACCCATTAAACCATGTTCCCAAGCACCACGTCCAACCTTTCCTTGAATTCTCCCAGGGATGGTGACTCCACCACCTCCCTGGGCAACCCATCCCAATGCTAGGGCAGACAGGGAAGCTCTTTCACTCATTGCTTTCCTCTCTGAACAGCAGCCTTGCAGGAGAGGTGATGGGGGTGATGCAGGGCAGTGCCAGGCACATGGGAAATCCACAATCTGGGTAAAGCTGCCAGGTGGAAAAGGGGACGTGAGGAGGAAGCCCTGAGCTGTGTGTGATAGACGAGGTGTCTACCCAAGGCTGCCACCCTTCAGAAGTGTGCTGATGGTTGCAGGTCGGGTGGGAGGTAGCACACGCTGCCTTGTCTGAGAGAAGAGATCAGCACCCGAGGAAGAGGCTGGACGCTGAACAGTTTGGGCAACTCAATTCTAATTTGTTTTTTAAAATGCTTTGAGCATTTTTAATGCCGTGTTTGAGTAAGATTAATAGATATGTATTCCTATGAAAATCCATTTTCTTGCCCAGGTTATAAACGTCCGATGTGAAATCTCAGGGTGAGGAATATGGATTCCCGCGGACAGACTGCCTCAGCCTAACTATTGCATAACTCATGCTCTGCTCCTGGCCTGGTGGCATGGAAACAGTTCCTCGTACATAGCTTTATATAACTGCTGTATATAACCTGCTATAGCTTAACTGCAGCAATTTAAAAAGCAATGACTATTTATTCCCAAGTGTGGTCCCCGATCAAAGTTGGAGTCTCCATTTTAGGTGTTAAATATTTATTCAAAGTGCAGATCACACATTTCTGGTGCTGTGCAGGGAATTTTTGATAAAGCACTGTTCCGCACTGAACACCAAAATGTCTCCTACCTTTTTTTTTTTTTTTTTTTTTTTTTTTTAAGCAAAGTAATGCAATATAAAGTAGAATTAGAGAAGTCTTTTTGTCCTTTTACCAGCAAAGCTGTAGCTAGCTCTCCACTTTCACCATGGAAATGTGCAGGTCCAGCAGCGGGGTGATGCCGGGTGTGTGCCTGACCCCATTCTGGGTCTCTTGCTGGATCTCGTGGGGCTGTGTGCTGTTGGCTGGCGGTACTGTGGGTTTGTTCATTGCTCCCAGACATGGCAGTGCTGTCTGCCTGCTCTGCTGGCAGTGGCACCTTGGTGCCAACCAGTCCACGCCCTGCTTGAAGAGGTTCCAGTTAGGTTCGGCTGCTCAGCCTGGCTGGGTTTCAAACAACCCCATGGATGGAGATTGCTCAGCCTCTTTGGGTGACCTGTTCTGGGGATGACAGGAGGCAAAATCCTACTCAGAGGTCGGGAGCACCTTGTAACAACGCGACAGGGCTGGCAGTGCAGTGGGCAGCAGGCTCAGCTCTCCAGCTCAGCTACTGAGTAATGTTCATACGAAATAATTCACCCATCTCCTTCCTGATGACACAGGGCACGCTGCCTTTTTACTTCATCCAGGAGCATTTCTATATTCTGCTGAAATAACAGGAAGGCATGGCAATTTTTAAGCTTTAGACAATCTTATTTAGAAGTGAACTTCAAATATTTAACCACTTCATAGTTTCTTGTTAAATAGAGGTCTCATATTTGCAAGAATTAGGGTAACAGTCTTGCTCTGAATCTGCTGAAATTAACGCCAGCTCCCTGACTCTGAAGACGAAACCCTCAATGAATCTGTAGGAGCAATTTATCATCATAGGAGTGAAGTATCATCTTACTTCTTATGTATCAAAGTCTAGGACAGAAACTCATTGACCTTCTCCAGGAGGAGAACTGGGGCACATCGAGATTCTGATCACTATCACGTTGGTGGAAGCTGATGGAAAATCCCCTGAAATGACATTGGAACAGTAGCAACCTGAGAACGAAGCCCGTAATCTCTTTGTCCCCGTGCTGTACATGTTTTCTCAGGAGCCTAATTTGAGAACAAAACCTTAATTTGTTTGAGAAAACCAAAAGCAGCTGGTGTAGTTAATTTATTTTGAGGACACACGTGCTGATGAGCCGGAGGAGGATGTTATCTCTGTCCTTTCACAAGGAGACAGATAACACTGTGATGTGCGCAGGAGCTGGACTGTGGCACGTAGGTTAGGGCTGGGATGGCTCTCTCTGCTCCTGCAAGTACAGCGGAGGGCAGCTCTCTGAGGATGACTGAGATGCAGGGAGCAACAGGATCAGAAGGTGACAGGTACTTTCAGCAGCACGTTCCCACTGTGTCCTTACCCACACTCTGCATTTTCAGAGCAGAGCTCCCATGACCAGGCACCCACCCTGGATCTTGGAGACAGGGCAAATTTCTGTGCTCAAATTATTTCTGTGCCCAGAACCACCATCACTCCCTCCTCCGCTCTCTTCTTAATGGATCACCTTCCTGCAGACGCACCTTTGTTTTATTTTTAGTTAATTTAAATCTATGCACCGAGGACACCCTGTTAACTTTGTGAGCTGGGGCTGACTCGTGTACATGCCCCTGCTGGCACCTTTCCTTGACGGTCCTCCAGCAGGGACAGCTCTAGTCAACCTAGCCATTTCATCCTTCAGCTGACGGCATGCACAAGGACTTAAGAGATTTCTTTCCTTGCTTTTTGGACACAGTGATGCCCAATTTTACAGAGAATTAATGCAAAGGTAAACTCACCTGATCTGGTGAATCTGTCTGCCTAGATAACGGCACAAATTGGATGGACAGGGGAGTGTTTACTTGCTGGTTTCTCTTACAGATGCAGGGAACAAACCTCCATGGATGTTCAGCTTGTGTCTGTCAGCTTCTGCTTGCCCCATCAGGGCCTTTTTCTTTTCTGTGTGTGCTCTGCCCTGATCAAATTTGGGCATCAGAACAGTAGAAGGGTACAGGGTCATAAGCATATCACAATAAAAGGTATGTTAGGTGGTGAGATGAATGCTGCTGGGACTTCATTTACCTCATGAATGTGGGCCTGGCTGAATTGAAATAATCTGGCATTTAGGAAAAATAGTGCCAAAGCCTTTTGCAGAAGAAATATTGACAAAGCAGTATTCTCCCCAGGTAGTGGGAGCCTCATGTTGGGAAAAGCCCCACTCCAGTGACCCAAAGGAAGATCAGTGAGTGTCAGGGTGGCCTCAGCATCGCTTTGGGGTTTTCTTGAGACCTCTACACCTCAGGTTGTCACCAACCCTTGGGACCCTGTGCTGGGTTTGAATGCTCTCCCCTGCGGTCACTGGTATCTGAACCTGGATGTCTCTGGGGGTACTTATGGAGCTGTACCACTGAGCTTATGGGGATCTTTCAGAGCTCCTCTCATGTGAACACTGGGCATTGTTCATGACTCAGCTGTGTGTGCGTGTGTCTGTAAATAACATAAACATGGCTTGGCCTTCACTGCATGTCCTGTCTTGTTTAAGCCTCTATATACATGTGAATGTGTTTCGTGTCTCATACAATACAGTGGCTGAATGATTTGGGCAAGTAGCTGTCTGCCACAGGTATCCTGAAACCTTTGTAAATGGAACCGCCCTAGCTAAAGAGATGTGTTTGAGTGTGTTCTCCTTCATTTTAATGAATATGAAGTCAGTATAACAGAACTGGTTGTATCCTTGGAAGGGAGAGCAATCCCAAATACAGAGCTGAAAGGATCATTTCCTACCTCACCACCACGTTGGACAACACCATTCCTTTCTGGCCCCAGTTTGCCCTCTGTTCCCTGCCTGGGCTGTCTCTAAGCTGTGAGCATATAACAACTGTTTTATTTTTCATTTGGTCAGGACCTCACTCAGTGGGACATGGACTTCGGCTGAGCTGTCAGCGTGCTACAGTAGTGGGCATCCCTCTTCATCCTTCAGTTCCCAGCACACACTCTATTCTCTCTATACAATTACCAAAAGAGATGGTAGTGGTTACTCTTACTCTGTCTTTTGTGGAGAGGAAACCTGCTGCATGTTCATTTCTCTGGAGTTACAACATCCCAGGGATTGTGCATGTGGAGGAGATGACAGCTGCTTGACAAAAGGCCCGGCAATTAAATCCCCCACATTGCACCCTCTGCTTCAGATAAAACATTAGCCTGCCAGGAAGCAAAAACAGCAAACTGTATAATTACACAGTTAATTGTCACTAATGACCAGAGAAATTGATAACCCATGTTGGCATAGAATCAGCTTCTTCACTTATTTTGCTCCTGATGGAAAGAGAAAAAGTTGGAAAAAAAAATTGTCCCCAAATCCATGGTCCAATATTTGCCCTTAGTCCATTGGATAGCTGACTACATCATATCAAAAAAGCATCAGATTGTAACTAGACATGCAGTATTTTAGGTTTCGGTAGAAAATAACCCTGCAAAGCCCCTTTTGTTCTTGCTTTGTTAGCTGTCGGGAGAAGAGAAATTCTCACAAAATGCATTTTCTCCCCTCCCTCCCCCTTTCTAAATTATTTTAAAACCCCTTGACACTAGGAAGGCAAATCACATCTCCCGTAGTTTAAATGAGCAGCACGTGGGCTCCAGGAAAGGAACTGTCTCAAAATACACCTTCTTATGTTCAAAAAGTCCAGCAGAACAGGGTGGCAAATTCTCCACTTATTAAAACCAGGCTGAAAAGCAGAGCTGCAGAAATATTTTAAGTCTATTTTACTGCAATGCCTCTTTATCTATTAGATGCGACTCGAATATAGCTTGTCAGCTTGCTTTAGCTCTGCAGTGAATCTTTTTTGTCATTCTAGGCCTGTAAATAATGAAGGTTATCTATAAGAAAAGTACCAAAGGTCTTTTTTAACCCACTTCATAAAGGAGTCCTGCAGGCTACCATTTGGAAAGCGCCTGTGCCGCAGTATCTCATTTGAGCACTAATGTGATAGAATTAGGAGCTATGTGATGTGAATCTCGAGTTCAATCTCAACATTGGCACAAATCAGACAAAGAAAGAATCAGTCTGATTAGGTAGTTAAACAAGAGGAGATGCCTCAGAATAGCCTTGCCATTTCAGAAGCTCCTGTGAATTTAGGGGTCCTTTGAAGACCGTATCAACGCCCCTTTTGCTTTAATACACCTCCATTGCATTGAGACGCTGTTAAAGAGGATGAAGGAGGATGGAACCTGAGGAGTCTTGGGCGTGTGTCACACCAGGGCTCCAACATGTTGAAGGATTAGGAGGGACAGTCGAGTCCCCGTAGCAATTGGTTTTTACACCCCCTCTTCCTGAGAGGGAGATACAAGTGAGTGTTTCTGCACCTTCCCGCAGGCCTTCCCGCAGGCTGTGGTCTCGGCTCCGAGCTTGATGCAGCCTGCCTGCAGGTCCCCCTCGCCTCTGGTGCTGTGGGGAAGCCACCTGGTTCACTGAATGCATGCACAAAGCGAGATGATGCCCAGCTCCCTGTGCTGGTGCCTGTGCCGAACACACCAAGCTGAGCACGATGCTGCTCAGTCTGTCAATAAAACCAGTCTGTCCCCTCAGGAAGGGTGGCATGCTGGCAGTGAGGAAAATAAATGCAGAAAGTGTTTGCAAAGGAGATCTTCAGCTTGCTTGTCTCTCTCTCCATTCCTCTTTGTTACACTGAGTTATTTGCCCTGTTTTGAATATGGAATAAATTGCTCTCGCTCTCCTGCCTTACACTGACTGCATCCTGAACATCTTGTTCTAACTGCTCTGGGCAGTTTCTGACAGGCTGAACAAATAAAGTGGGAAAAAACACACCATAAAATCCCAAACATTTTTCAACCAGCTCCATTATGTCCTTTGTGCTCAGCTGGGATATGTTATTGTGAGAGAATATCACGCTCCTGGACAGGGCCGAGCAGCGCTGCTTCACAGCAGAGCTTTGCACAGGATCAGTGGAGGCCCACGTGCCTGGGCACGGTCAGTGCTTCTGTTCAGCA